CGGGTGCATTTCCTTTGTTACACACACGTTGCCATCAGAGAAGTCACTCGGTTGTAAATTATTTTTTGATCAATCGATCAATCTGTGTGTGTGTGCGTGTGTGTGTGTGTGAGAGAGAGAGAGAAAGAAAGAAAAATGTTAGTAACGAAACTGCACTGGACTCCCTCTCCCCTTTCATAGGATATGCCCAACGAAATGATAAAGTCATCAGGTTATTTTTCTTATTTGGAGAGAGAGAAAAATTTAAGAAAAACCAAAAATATATGGGCAAATGTGATCATTGCTGTTAATTTGTTTTTCTATCCGTAGAGTCTACATTGACAAACATAAAATAAATGCTCCGTAAGACACATGAAAAAAAAAAAAAGACAAAAAAAAAAGAAACTTGTGAGAAGACAACAACAACCATATGTAGTTTGTATATATATGTTTAAATAGAAATATTTGAGGTGTTTTCTTTTGTTGTGTTTCTGAATGATGTTATATCTCAGTTGGTTCTTCTTGTAAGTAACACAATTATTTACACCACCTCTATCGGCTCTACAAGGGTCATTATTCTCGAGGACTTGTTATTATTTTGTTGAGTTTGTCAACAAACAAGCAAGTTTGGGCAATGAACAAGAGATTCCAAATTAGTGAACTCTCGCTAGTTTGCAAAGCTTTGTAACCAGTCAATAAGAAACTGATGTTTTGCAACACCGCCGAGTGCAACTACCTGTGCACGAAGTGCTGCCTGAAGGTGTATGTCAACCCTCCTTGTAAAAAAATAATATGGTCAATAATTTATTGTTAGAAAAGAGAGAGAGAGAGAGAGAGAGAGAGAGAGAGAGAGAGAGAGAGAGAGAGAGAGAGAGAGAGATTTAATGCATGAAGAGAGAGAGAGTTAATACATGAAGAGAGAGTCTCTATTAAGTTGTGCTTTACAACCTGCAGTCGTTTGACAACTCAGAGTGAATATAATACTAGAGACGTTACACGATTGCTAACATATCTTAGGGTCTGCAAAAAAATAAAACCCCCAATAATACATGCGATTCAATTTTTATATATATTTTTGTCATTTGTTATTGTCCATAATTACGTATTACATCTGCAAATGAAAACATAAATAAGAGCAACAATAATTTACAAGTGTCAGAATTAATGATAAAATAAATGTTTGCTTTATATTTTTTTGTTGAAAATACACACTAATGTTGATCAACAAGAGTTCAACAATTTTTCAACAAGAGTTCAACAAGAGTTCAACAACAGACCAACAATAGTCCAATATGTTTTTCAACGTTGGACCAACAAAGTTTCAATGTAGAGCTTTTGTTGTTCTTCGTGATGTCCCCAGACTGACTGCAGAACCAATGTTGGTTTAATTGACTTCCTGATGAAAATAGAGATTGCTTCCAGAACAACACATGAACAACTGTTGATATACAGAAGAACTTCGACAAGAAAGGAGTCAAACTTGATTTTCGAAAACACCAAAATTTTTCTGTTGTATCCATTGAGCCACCTATGCACACATTATGTCGACATGCCACCGAGCGCTGCAATGGCAGATCACACATCGATGCCTTCAGGCACTGGCCTGGGTAACTTCAAGATCCAACCTGGAGCAAGCAGGTTTCTTGTCCCCTATTTGCTCCCATTGTGGCCCTACCGCACAACGCAGGTGCGCTGATTTGGAGCACTGCTTGTTGGCATGCCCGATGGCGGTGCAGGTGTGGCAATGGTGGGATGCATTGCGGCATGACATAACTGGATCAACCTTCCAATGGAACATTGCTCTTATCCTCCTAGGCAGACCTGTGGATTATTCGACAGGGTGGTCACCTTTTCAAGCAAACCTCTTCAAGCACATGAGGCTTGCTCTCCTCATGGTAATATGGAGAATCAGATGCTCAGCTGAAAGGCAAGACGCTGCCTTTGGCTTCCACCAAGCCAAGCCAAACTAGCAGAGGTTATCCGGGCAAACA